CTCTCTCTCTCTCTCTCTCTCTCTCTCTCTCTCTCTCTCTCTCTCTCTCACACACACACACACACACACACACACACACACACATACACACACTCACAAATAAAATGACTAGAAAATATTTTCAACTGCGAGGTGTCTTCATTCCATCACTATATTAAGTATACTCAACTGAGTCTAATGTAGTCACTACCTAGTTTTGCAAGCTGTAGACATGCCAGCTGCCTGGCCTACCACTAGCACATTGAAAAAATATTTGTATGTTTTTTATATTTATCTGGCCGTGAATGCATCAACACTACACTGACCAAGTTGGCTGCCACAAACTTCTTTTATTAGCACAGTTTTAACAGGATTTAAGATATTCATAGAAAGGGTGCATTATTATTATTATTTGGCACTTACACCCTAGATTTTTAAAAAATGCATGGAACTGGATATTGGTGGCACTCTGATGTAAATGACAAATTATTTGAAAAAAAAATGCATTTAAATGCCTCACAGGTTTTGTACAGGAGAACTTCTCTTCACACCCTAAAATTGACTTTTGAGGGAGAAGTTCATTACTGCTTACATTTCTCTGGTTTCAGATTTTTCACAGGCAAAGATTGCTAACCCTATTTAACCAGAGGCTCAAAGAGACATGCTCCCCAAAGCTATGGTTTCTACATTCATTCCCATATGGCACACAGTCATGAAAATACAAGAGATGTGTGGTCACTATAGCATCATAGTTATTCCTAGTTTGATAATACCAAAAGTTCCAGCCATTCTGTAAAAGCCTCCCCCTTACATTTGGACCACATGCTCCTAGGTCTAACATAATCTCGATGAGGAAGGTCACTTCTTATATAGGTTTCTCTTTCTGGTTTCACAGTCCTGCCATGGTTTTGATGAATATCATTGCCTCAAAATATCACATGAAAAATACTGCCATGGGTGGCCTACCTGTACAACAGGTGGTTTTGTGTCTGTGACTAAAAGGAAGAGGCTCCTGTTGATGGCAGGGAATTCAAATATGGGCACAAGATGACTTCTCAGTTCCATTCTGTAAGATGATATGGGAAACATCTCCACTGATAGCTACCTTAGCAAACAGGAGGAGCCAAGGTTGATGTGTGATTCTGGCATGGATCTGTCAACATGGGTAGCTTTATAAGCCATGCTTTGCAGCCTTGACAGAAAAACTGCTTGTGCCCAGTGCCAATCATTCAGCCTTTGTCAACTCAATTGCACATCCTTTTAGAGATAGTATCCATCTCTACTGACATCCAAAATATATAGCCTACTGTCACCATGTCCCAGGGCTGAGTGTACACTGGGAACTTGCCTTGCAGGGGCCCATGACTACCTTCCAGCTCTTTGCTAATGTGTGTGACTTAGTGTATATGCGAAGTGGGGAAGGGACTTTCCATTCATCTCACAGCAAGTGTTTAAACAGCAATGATGGCTGGTGTTCCGAGCTGACACCTGTTAGATAATCAAATACTACTTGTTCTTAGGGAAAGTGAACAATGTAGCACTAACTCCACATGTTACCAAGATGCCAGGGTCTCTGCATAAAAATTCTAACCACCTGTAATCTATATGATTAGTCTTATAATAAGAGGTAATAGGAGACCAATTTGATCAACAATGTGTGCTGTACTGATGGGCAATGTGCAGCAATTTTGAGTTGTTTCTGTTCTACTTTCCTATCTGTAGACAGCATGGCATGGCCACCCACCATTCAGTAAGGACTGTGGCCAGATTGCTGCTGAGGAGAAGACGCCCCACAAAGGGCAATCCTTTTCCCCTTCTACCTACTTGGCACTCAATTGAGCCATTACCTCTGCAGAGGTTATTTTTACTTAACCTTTATTGAGTGACATCAAGCATGGTATTTTTTTTAAGGAGATTAAACATCTATCTTAATTTTTTAAATGTCTCTTGAAAAAAAATCTATTTTGAATGTGAGCTTTCCAGTCCATAAACCTGAATACCACTGGTGACTACAGTGTCTGATTTCCCAAGGTGTGTGCAATGCTCTACCTGAAGGTTATACATCAATGATTTCTGAACCATGGCTTCATTTTTCCTCTGCACTGGCGATATCTGGAGTGACACTTGGGACAAAAACATTTGGTACAACCATGTAAATTATCTAACTTGCTTCCCAGAGTAATTAAAAATTGGAGGGAATGGGGGAAGTATTTATATTGTTCAGAATGGCATTTTAAAAAATAGAGTGAACTTTAAAGACTGAAAATTGTTTTGATTCAGCCACATTTTATGTCTTATCACTAAGTACTTAAAGTCATTATGGCTATTACAAAATAAAATAATCTACTTAATACAAAACTTGTATTGTTTTAAACGTTCTACCTTTGTAGTGATGGCTAGCTGTTTTGAAGGTCACGCCTGTGCTTGTTGGCTATAAAACCAGAATGGCAAATGTGCACTGAACAACAACTCCTTAGAAGTCTGTGATTAGAAGACTTGACAGGATTAACCCCCAAAGCTCATTGTGCAAAAATAGTATCTGCCTTTCCCTTGTCATTTGATTTCATTTCCAACTTTACTAAAACCAGACAAGAAAATGATACCTCTGTCTTAATATGTTTGCTTTTGTAGATATAGTTAATTTAAAACCAAATGTTATAGCCACATGTTTCTTTCTTCAATGTAACTGATTACAATTTTTCTTTTCAATGGAAAAAAAAGTAAAAATTTCTTTGTTAGTTGAATAAGGCAATTGAATCTAGCTTTATTTTCCATAACCCACCAGGCTCCACCCTTCTATTCTGGAGGTTCCATTGTGTGCATATATCAAAGCAGGGTAGTGCCTGCTTTCAGCAGTTAAGTGGAGCAACATTCTCATGCTACAGTTCAACATTCACCACTGCCTGCCTTCCAGAAGATCCCTAAAGCATGGCACACTTGGCCAAGGTGCAGAAGGCCACAACCTTTCCTTTTTTAGTATATCTCGTATCTTGAAGGACAGACCACTGCCATGCCATAACTGACTGTGGCATTTCCTTCTTTCTGTCTCTGGGCCAAACCCTCCATCCTTCTGGGTCTACAGTTTTCTTCCTTCTGTAGAGACTGATCACAGTTGAACTGACCACCACACTCCCCTCTTACCCTGGAGGAGATATGGCAACTCTCTGACAAGAAAGTCGGAGGGGCTTATTTCCTTGTTTTGAGAAACATAAGGCCGTTGAGGATCCCTGTTGCAGCTGACGTTTGACTTTGGGTAGCTGGCCTACTTACCATCCTCTGCGGTCATGAGTGGAGTCCAAGTGCTGTGTGTGCTGCCAAAGGCATTGGTGGCAATCAACCGAAACCTGTACACCATGAATGGCTGGAGACCACTCACTTCATAGCTTAACGATGCAGAAGGATCGAGAAATAACCTATGTGGGAAAGAAATGCCCGTTAGGAAGGTTTAGACATTCACATAAATAAAAGAAACAAAAGATCAGTGGAATCATGCTGCAAAAAAAGTGTTTAGAGATACCAACATAGATTTAAGTTATATTATTTTAGGCCATCACATTATATCTACTTCAGAATAAATAGCTGTTGGGAGAGAATTTGTTCTCTTGCATTTATAGAAGACACAAAATCTGGTTGCAAGGACAGTGGGTGCTGTGAGGTCATTACAGGGCAGCTGGAAAAGGTTCTTCACAGATCAGCCCAGTTTATCAGTTCCAGTGTGTGACACTTGTATTCCTGCCAGGCTTAAGGAATGTGAGAAAATCTTGCTTTCCATGCTCTATAAACAAACACTAGATTTTTTTTTTTGTAAAGCAAATGTGTTTCCACTAAATTGTTTGCTCATGTTTTACTTTGTTTGAACTTTAAAAAGATACCCAAATTTTGTTGCAAATAAGAACCGACCTATTCTTCAGTTCTCATTTTCATGAGAACATTTAAAACGTGCAGACATTGTCTAAGTCAGCCCATAGGAAGAGGCACTAGGTAGAATGCTCACTCTAGAAAGCTGTGGGTGGAGGGGCCGGGCCTCATCTGGAGCTGGTACGTGAGAGAGCCCGGAGCGTTGTTGCGAGCTGGTGTAGACCAGACAACCTGAAGACTGGTTGGAGTGGCAGATGCAAGCCTGGGAGACAGCAGACCATCTGGAGCTGTCGGGAAACACAGATGAATTAGAGCAGAGAAAACTGTGGGGGACATATGCTGGGTGGGGCGGAAATGTTCCGCACACTGGAAAACTGTTCCTCAGGATCAACAGCGACGTTAAACACGGTCCATTTAATTTAACATTTTCGTTCCTGAAGCGCTGTGCTTCCTCCCTGATTGTCTCCACAATGACGTCAGCGCTTCAGTCTTAAAAAGCAGGCCCCAAGGTTCAGGACGGATGAGGCCTGGGCCGTGCCCACACGTGCTTCTGTCTGTCTAATTGAAAGCATAGAGGGAAGCTGGTGCAGCAGACACCGAGTACCTTTAATTTAACCCTTTTCTAAGCAGACTGGGCGCTGAAGCCGTCTGGGTCTTAGTCCTCCTGTCCACCCCTGGTCCCCGTAGCTGTAACCACCACTAACGGGATACAGAGGATTTCGTTCCTTTCCTTCCGAGGGATAAGGAGTTGGCTAATGTTGTGCAAATCTGTAATGATGACACATTCTGGTCTTGAGTCTTCCCAAGAAAATAAGAAGACTGAACTCCTTCCTTAGTGTGTCCCCCACAGTCGGAAAGACCTCCACACTGCTCTGTTCTCACTCAAATATGGCCACATATCACCAACTGAGAGAATCCAATGGAAAGTTTCTGTGGGGCACAGCAGGAATGAGTAAAAATAAAGCCTTTTCTCTAAAAAAAAAAGGAAAAAAAGGATAGGATTATTATGATTATTTAATTTTCCCAACAATTAGATTTGAATGACTTGATCATATTATTTGCTCCAAAACTTTTTCCAAACTCAAAAGCAGATTAAACAGAGCTCTGAGGCCTCAGGAAGATCATCCAATGACTCAGAGCCTATGTTTTCCTATCTTTAATTCAGGAATATTTCCCCCCCGCATAGCTTCAAAAATCACAATATATATCAACAGAGTACCTTACTTTTGATTCTAGGAATTATTATTATTATCATCATTGTCATTGTTGTCTCATCATCATCATTATCATCATCATCATCACTGTTATCACTGCATTTGAGCTAAACTTCCCTTAGCTTAATTTAATTACAACTATAATATTATTTATTAATTCATGTTTTTTAATGTTGTTTACTAACTTTGTAGTAATATAATGTTATTACTATAATGAAAACAAATGAAGTATCAGGGTCCACTGTCAACATTAAGAAAAAAATAATATATATATGGCCTTGTAATGTATGTGGATTTTATGTGCTCTACGTTGTGGGAGACCCTGTCTGTGAACATGAGGCTAATGAATGGGCAATGATGAGAAGGGAAGAATTAGATTACATGTTTCATCAATCTTCAGTAAGGGCTTTGAGTTCATCAATAATTCATTCACTTGTTCAATACACATTTATGGAGGCTCTGCTCTGTGTTAAGTAGGGTTCTTCCCATGGAGAGAAAGCAGCACTGAGTGGAACAGTCACCACTCTTGTGGAGCTTATGTGTAAGTGGAGAGATTAGGTAATAAAAAGATGTAGTAGGACGGGATACTAGATGATGAGAAGCCTAGAGAATCAAACCCTAAAAAAAAAAAAAAAAGCCTACAGAACAGGAGGTCGGTGAGGTAGCTTAGTGGGGAAAGATGCTTGCTGCTGAGCCTGATGACCTGAGCCTGAAGGAAAGAACTGACTCCTGTAAGTTGTCCTCCGACCTCCAGGTATGTGGGCCTCCTGCCACCTGATACATAAGTGACCATAAAACAAAACAAAGGCAGCGTAAGAGATGAATGCATATTGGAATGCATGGAGTATGCAACTTCACTTATTTCATAACCTTTTAGAGTAGGTAGGAAGCTAATAGGAAGGACACGTAATTAGGTGGTATTTGAGTGGAGACCTTAAGGGAACATGGGAGGCAGCCCTGAGTATGTCTGTGAAGAGCAATGTCGTCGGAGAACAGAGGGAAGCCTGAGAGCAGAGAAAGCTCTGACTATATTAACAGAAGAGCTGAAAGGCCAGTGTGGTTGGAGCAGTGGGCAGGGACTAGGCAAGGACTTCCCTCTGAGTGACATTCAAAGTCCCTGGAAGGGCTCAGGATCTCCACCCAAATGGGGCAACATGTTTGGTAAAGACAATGGAACAGTACGATTAAAAACTTAAAAGGACCACTATGTGGGAATGGGGATAGGGGACAGGAGTAGAGATATAGGCATCTCGGGTGATTATGGCTTTTGTTTCAGCAGTAATGATGAAGGTGTGGAGACACTTTGCCACCCAGTTAGGAGTGTGTTGTTAGTAGAATATAAGGTCATCAAGGGTAATGCTACTATTTTCAGCCTGGACAACTGAATGACTGGTAACATCATTCCAAAGCTGAGAGGTACTGAGGGGGCCACAGGTAATGGGGGAGTGATGCAGAACTGTGATACATGGGTAAAAACGATAGATCAATGGAGACATGGCTTTTTAGGCTGAGACGTATGAAATTAACTAATGACTGAGAGCAGAGACGGCAAGTCCCAAAGAGAGCTATAACCTGAGCCCAGGGATCCACCTATAATCTGGGTTCAGGAAGTGGTAGAAAAACTAAGAGAAGGTTCAGACCAGGTGCCTAGGAAGGAATGTTCAAAGGAGAAGAGCAGAGCCAATCACCTGTACCAAGTGTGCTGGTGACTATGGACCAGCAGTGAAACTGCACTTGGTGATCAGAGCTGTAGGGTGGCACTGCCAGGAAAGGACGCAGGGCAGAGTACTCATGACACACCGCTGCAAGGCGGCTGAGGAAAGAAGGGGATGGGGCATGAGCAGACAAAGTGAGCTTTGACAACTATGTCGAGGGAGTTCATTCTAAAGGGAAGTAGAACACAGAACAGCAACTAGGAAACTTCCCGACACCAAGGCAAGGTCTGTGAAAGATGTGGAAGCGTGGCATCCCAGGGGCACAGGTGATGGTTGAATTTTCAGCTTGACAGAATTAGAGTCACCTGGCAGATGGGCTTCTGAGTATGTGTGTGGGCAGTGATTTTGATTAGGCTAATGGTACGGGAGCATACCCCTTCATTGTAGGCAGGGCTGTAGACAGGGATCTTGGACTGTACAAAAGGGAGAGCTAGCATCCATTCACTGCTGTCTGGTTTTGAGCTGTGGATGAGATGTGGCCAGCACTTTCAAGCCTTGGCTACCTTGACTTCCCCACCATGGTGGACTGTGCCTTGAACCATGATCCAATATACAGCCTTACTTCCTTAAGTTGCACTTGTCAGGATGTTGCCTCACAGCAACAGGAAAAGGAACCAAGCTTGATTATTGCAAGAGTACACTTAAAAGACTGTAGAGGGTAGCGAGAGGTACACAGTGACCCGAGAGAAGAGAGGAGAGTTGCCAGAACAAGGGTCTTGTGTGGGGACAGAAAGACATGCCGGTACACACGTACGCCATGTACACGAGTAGCCAGCCGGGCCTAACGGTTGAGGAATAGAGCAGGGATACAAACACGTGGGGTAGAAATGGATGCACACACTGGGATGCAGGGAAGTGGCTCAGCTAGTGATGGGTGATGGTGAGTACCACCCTCTCCATGTGGAGTTCCTCTTCTCACTGAGCAAGTCAAAAGCAAAGGCTTCAGGTGATACCAAAAAGAGAGGGTGCACTGGACATCTGAGGAAAGGGGGAGCAGAAGGAAGTCATTCTCTCTCTTAGTGAGAGCTTCCTATGGTTTAGAAACACAGGGAGATGACTGTCTGAGACACACAGTACAAGAACAGCTTCAAATCTTCGGGTGGAAAGACAGACTTCATTGCTAAGGGCTTTTGACTTGAAATTTTATCTGAGACCACAAGTAGTTTAAATAATTTTTTTTCTTCCTCAATACATATTTTCCAGTCAATTTTCAACAAGTGCACACATGCAAATGGATGCTATAGAAATAGACAGAAATTAAAATTTAAGAGACATACCAGGTGTAACATAAAATCATAACCCTTATTTATAATTTTTACCTTATTCTTTTATATTGAGGAGTATACCATTTATTGAATTGTGGAGGAATATTTGTTTGAAGTCATCAACATGGAAAAAAAAGACAGTTTTAACATGCACACTAAAATTCCTCAGTGCATGAAAACTACAATACTATGCGACTTTGAAAGGAGTGCTCCGAACAGTCCCCCATAATGCCAGTGTCAGCCAGTCTCTTCTGCTCAGCGAGGAAACACCACGCTCATCGATTCTCTCACACTTCAATTATACAGAACGGCAACCCATTTGCCAGGACATGGCCATCTTCCGTGATTTCTGCACGGCTCTCCCTCCCGCAAGCCTTCTTTCTCTCTGCTTAGCCCCTTTTACCCCGGGCCCATTTCCTCAGAGGCTCCTTCACATGAAAGCAGTAGCTGGGAGTGGGTCATAACTCCAAGCCTGGTTTCTAACAGGAGGGCCCTGTATCTATCTGCTTGATATATTGTCCCCACGATGCCATGTTGCTCACAAAGCTTCTCTCAAGTTTCATATGACCCTCACGGGGCAAACACGCCACAGACAGCCTCCTGAATCAACGCACTCTTCCCAGTAAATACTAATTCTACATGGCAATCGGATAAAACAGCTACCCCCAGCCATAAATCCACAGGAAGGGAGTTTTTAATAAAATTTCAAATTCAACCTTCTTTTGAAGGCAAAAAAGAGAACACAGCAGGCCATAAATATATCACATACTGAACGAGTAAAGATGGTATAATTTTGAATACATGATTTTATTAAGCTTTAAAAATAATAGACTTTTGGACCTAGCCTTTAAAAAATTCAGGCCCCCCAATCAAACAAGGCAGGTCACACATGTCCTCAAACCTTGCTCCTTATACAGTAATAGAACCGTCTGTGCTGGAGCTACACAGCAAATGTGGGGTTTGTTCTTCTCCATGTCGGTCTGCCACATCTGTCAGAAGTAAAGGAAGAAGGTATAGGAAGAAGAAGAATCCACCATGTTTCGCTTATACATCAGTTTTTTTATTCTGGGCATCTTATCATCTCACAGTGTGT